CCACCCATCATCTTCCTTCCTTCCTTCCTTCCTTCCTTCCTTCCTTCCTTCCTTCCTTCCTTCCTTCCCTCCCTGTAGGGCTGTCCTGCATCATTCATTTCCCTGGGAGGCTGGGAAGCTGAGGCCTCTTGACAAATAAGTGCGGGAGCTGCCGACCTTCTTAGCTGGTGATTGGCCCTAAGCAGACTTCCCTTTCTCTCCAGCCGGAGAACATACTGTGTGTCAACCAGACAGGACACCAGATAAAGATCATTGACTTCGGGCTGGCCAGAAGGTAAGGGGTCTGTCGGCACTTAGAATCCGCTGGGACCCTTTCTGGCTCACTGGGCACGGTTACCCACAACTCAGCCAATTTTTGATTTTTACATTTTTTAAATTGATGCTTTATTTTTTTAGAGCAGTTTTAACATCACAGAAAGATTGAGTGGCAGAACCAGGTTTCCCATAGACCCCCTGCCTCACACTTGCACCCAGAATGGAGCCAGCCCCCACCCAGCCTCCGCTCGGCCTGCGCTCCTGCTATATTCACTTCTCCCTTCTCGCGGCGAAAGGCATAGAGCGGGGGCTGTGGTTTCCGGTTCTCCCTGGGGACCCAGCAAAGCCTGAGGTTGGGGCCTGGGGAGTGAGGATTCCCCAGGAAACCCCGTGTGTGGGCGCATGTGGGGTCCGGGAATGCCTGGCCCGCACCGGGCCGGGGGGTGGGGGTCGGTCCTAGCGCGGGTGTCCTCGGGCAGCAGAAGTTGGAGTGTGAGTCGGCTAGTGGGAGCGTGAGCAGGAGACATGGGAGAAGTGGGAGGCGAGGTGGAAGGCAGCAGTGAGCGGGTCATATCTCCGTGGGCAACGCTTTACTCCCTGAGGGGGCATCTGTCATGTACACCAAGCATGTCAAACTCCAAGGCTAACACGGGCCACATAAACGAGGCATGTGGCCCGTGGGCCGAGAGTTTGACATGTTTGATGTACACACGTCCTCAGAATTATTCCACCCAGGGGTCGGGGTAATTATTCACCAACTCTTTATTTTTTTAGTTTTTGTTGTTGTTGTTGTTAATCCTCACTCAAGGATATTTTTTTCCATTGATTTTTAGAGAGAATGGGAGGAGAGAGAATGGGAGGGAGAGGAGGAGAGAGAGAGAGAAGGAGAGAGAAACATCAATGTGAGAGAGACAACATTGATTGGTCCAGACCAGGGCCAAGGCCAGAATCGAACCTGTAACGCAGATATGTGCCCTTGGCCGGGAACGGAACCAGCAACCCTTTGGTGTGTGGGCGGATGCTCTAACCACTGAGCCACCGGCCAGGGCTACTCACCAACCTGTAAGCAGCTATGGCTGGTGGGCTGATCCCAGGGGCCTGAATTCCTGAAATTCTGGATCCACTGGGTTGAAAGCTCTCCCCAAGGACAGGCAGGTGGACTGTGCAGGTGGGCGGGTGCAG